CACGTGTGTGCGCGCGTGCGTGTATGCGTGTGCGCGCGCGTGCGTGTATGTGTGCGCGCGCACGTGTATGTATGTGCACGTGTGTGCGCGCGTGCGTGTATGCGTGTGCGCGCGCGTGCGTGTATGTGTGCGCGCGCACGTGTATGTATGTGCACGTGTGTGCGCGCGTGCGTGTATGCGTGTGCGCGCGCGTGCGTGTATGTGTGCGCGCGCACGTGTATGTATGTGCACGTGTGTGCGCGCGTGCGTGTATGCGTGTGCGCGCGCGTGCGTGTATGTGTGCGCGCGCACGTGTATGTATGTGTGCGTGTGTGCGCGCGTGCGTGTATGTATGTGTGCGTGTGTGCGCGCGTGCGTGTGTATAATCGTGACCCGAGAGGTATCCTCGTTGTACGTGGCGATTGCTTGATGACGGATGAACAGCAGCAGCTATACGTGGTCAACGTCTGTCCCGTGGCTGTCTCGCGCTATCTCGTGTGTTCCGTCGTCGTTCGCTCACGTGTGCGAGGCCTGCGTCGTCGGATCTGCGTTGCTTTTATTCAAGTTGTTGGCTTCTCCGGTGGATCGACGAGTCCTTTCACGACGTGGAATCAGATCAGCACGCACACGCACGCACGCACGCACATGCACCCAGACATACACACACGCAAGCGCACGCACATGGGTTAATTCATTTCTCTGTGACAATACGATCAACAAAATGGCGCCGAAAGAAGTTATGAATGCCGGAATATATCCAAAAAACAATAGCACGTTGTTGCGTTAGTGAATCCAACAGCTACTTCGAACGCTCTAATCTACCGGTCAGGTAAAAACGAAAAAGAAAACCACTAAGTATGCACGCTTTCCCAGCACTCCTACATCCGCTTCCTGTTTGCTTGTTTTTCTCATTTTTGCTCTTCCCGCGCCCTTCTAGGTTTGAAAACTATCGTTGGTGCTTTACTGGAGGCGGTGAAAAGGCTGCGTGACGTCATCATACTCACGATCTTCGTGCTGGCGGTGTTCGCTCTCATCGGGCTTCAGATCTACATGGGATCTCTGCGGCAGAAGTGCGTGCAGGACATACCGCTGGAGTACGGCAATGTCACCGACGACTTCCGCGAGGATTGGAAGCTCAACTCGTGTACGTATACGGGAAGACTTCATCTTGTCTTCTCTGGGATGGAGCGGAGGAGGGGGTCGGAGCGGGGGAGGGGTGGGCTAACCCAGTTGAATCGCACCCGTTGTGATAAAGGCCCTGCTTAAATGTTTTCTATTGATGGCGACCAGTATAATATAGGCGACCCGATAAAAGACTTTCAGTATCGGAGTGAAAAATAATATTTTAATTTTGTCTGTTTCTATTTTGTACGTCCCATTATGTCTTCGAAGTGGCAGCAACGCACAATATATTGATGATCGTTGGTCGCAATGACTGAGGAAAAATACACTTTAACTCTGTCGAATGCACTCCACTCGCAATGACCTGAGCGCACCTATTAATTTCATCTATTCGAATTAGAAGGTTCTATAAGTGAGCGTACCGCCGAGAGCGCTGGGCGGGCATCGTGGTTAATTAATATGCAGATTAGCAGTAATTAAATGCGTCTGTGTTTTGTGTTTACAGCGCATTGGCAGCTCTCGGCAGATGGTGTAAACTATCTGATCTGCGGCGGAGGGTAAGTGTCAATCATTCTGCCATCATTCAATTCAATCTTCCTCCCTTCCTTCTTTCTTTCCTTCGACTCACGGTTCGGAGGGTACATGCCAATTACTCTGTCATTATTAAAGTTAATTTTTTTCTTCCTTTCTTCTGTCTTTCCTTGGACTTTATTACATTTATTATTCGATATTTATTATCAAGCGCTATCGACGCAGGTGCGTAAACATAGATAAGGGTGTAGTATATAGCAATAGGTATATAGGTGTTACATGCTTAGTATATCTGCACACGATGGTGGTGATGATGATGATGATGATGATGATGATGATGATGATGATGATGATAAAGATGATTATGATGATGATGATGATGATGACGCTGGTTGCTTCTTACAGCGCGTGTCCCGAGGACTTCACATGCTACGAGAAGCTGGGAGATAATCCTAACTACGGCTACACCAGCTTTGACAATTTCTACGTGGCAATGCTGTCGGCGTTTCGACTTATGACGCAGGATTATTGGGAGAATCTTTACTCGCTGGTGAGCCTATATAGCTTATATACCTGCCTATATAGCTTATATACCTGCCGATATAGCTTATATACCTGACTATATAGCTTATATACCTGCCTATATAGCTTATATACCTGACTATATAGCTTATATACCTGCCTATATAGCTTATATACCTGCCTATATAGCTTATATACCTGACTATATAGCTTATATACCTGCCTATATAGCTTATATACCTGCCTATATAGCTTATATACCTGCCGATATAGCTTATATACCTGACTATATAGCTTATATACCTGCCTATATAGCTTATATACCTGCCGATATAGCTTATATACCTGACTATATAGCTCATATACCTTCCTATATAGCTCATATACCTTCCTATATAGCTTATATACCTTCCTATATAGCTTATATACCTTCTTATATAGCTTATATACCTTCCTATATAGCTTATATACCTGCCTATATAGCTTATATACCTGCCGATATAGCTTATATACCTGACTATATAGCTTATATACCTGCCGATATAGCTCATATACCTGACTATATAGCTTATATACCTGCCGATATAGCTCATATACCTTCCTATATAGCTTATATATCTT